GGCGGGCCCCGCCTGCCCTCCCGGGCCCCCGCGGCCCCGCCATTGCCGCCGCCCCGCCGCCCCGCGCGCCCGCCCGTGGCCGCGGCCGCGTCTCGGTCTCCGCTCCGGACGCGCCTGTTAACAAAGGGCCAGGAGCCCGGCCCGCGAGGCCCGCCCCCGCCGCCTTAACCCTCTCCGCGCCGCGCCGCGCCCGGAACCAGAGTTTCCCGACATTCTCAAGGCCTAGGCCGGCCCTGGACCGTTACCGCGGTCCGAAACCGAGGTCCCGCCAATTTCTAGGTTAAGGAAAGAGAGGGTGATTATTTTAAGCGCGGCATTCACGGGTTCTCAACGTGGGGAAGTGCGGTCCTAACACCCCAAGAAAGACACCGACAACTATGGCAGTTGGGGAGGGCAGGCCTGCATCTCTGTGGCAGGAGGTGCCCCCAACCTGCACCACTTAAGGCCAAGTAAGTTCCACTGGGCGCGGTGCCCTGGTGAACCCTATGTCCCTGGACTGTTGGTGAATAATGCAAATTCCTCTGGAATTATCAATTCTGGTCTCATTTATACTCAGTGAGCTTACTGTGATTCAGGCTAACTCAATGGGTGTCTGAGGAATGAATAATCAGAGAGCTGCAACCCACATTATAGCTACACAGGTTTGCAACACATTTGTCAAATCATACATCCAGACTAGGAGACAAAAGAGATGGGCGAGTTCAAATTCAAACATAACTTCTGATAAGTTGTAAAGGGAGCTTAGTCTCCACAGTGAGATCTCATCAGGGTCATGGCCTGTGTCCCTTCTTTAAGAAGCCTCATTTTCTTCAACAGAGAACTCTTCCCTTGTTTGGTGTGTGCCATGGGGGGCCACTGTTTAAAATCCATTTCATTGCTGTACTTGGCTCAAATCTTTTTATAACTAATGATAAGACAATATCATAAAATATAACAACATAATAAATAACAGTAATCACAATAATGTGTTCCTTGGCACAAAACCGGAAATCCAGATCAGTGGGAAACCATATGGAATCCAATCATATCAAATAATTTAATAAAAATCAGATAGGGACTTCCTTGGTGGCGCAGTGGTTAAGAATCCACCTGCCGGGATTCCCTGGTGGCGCAGTGGTTGAGAGTCCGCCTGCCAATGCAGGGGACATAGGTTCAAGCCCCGGTCCAGGAAGATCCCACATGCCACGGAGCAACTAAGCCTGTGCACCACAACTACTGAAGCCTGCACACCTAGAGCCCGTGCTCTGCAACAAGAGAAGCCACCGCAAAGAGAAGCCCGTGCACCTCAGCGAAGAGTAGCCCCCGCTCACCGCAACTAGAGAAAGCCCGCTTGCATCAATGAAGACCCAATGCAGCCAAAAATAAATAAATAAATAAAATCAGATAAGTTTCAGTAACTATAGGAAAGTGAATTATCTAAATAGTGTTAGATAACTAAATTGCAATGGGGGAAAAATTAAGTTAGTACACATCTTAGAGCACATGAATACTAAGAGCTGACATGTATTGAGATCTTACTATGAGTCAGACTCTTGTGAGAAGCACCCTCTGTTCATTACCACATTGCATTTGCACAACTATTCTGTGAGGAAAACAGAATTATTATCTGATTCTTCAGGTAAAAATCTGAAGTTTAGAGAAGTCAAGCACCTCGCCCAAAGTCCTATGGCTGGAAACAGGCGGAGCTGGACTCAACCCAGGTCTACCTAGCTCCAAGGATCAGGCTCCTAACCGGTGGATTATGCAGCCCCTTCCCACCAAGAATAAATTCCAAGTAAATTAAAGCTTTGGATATCTATGTCTTTGGTTAAATAACTAAGGTTGTCATATGTTTCAGAAGCAGCCTTGGTCAAGAGACCCCAGCTACGGTGATCAGCTCCAGAGGCAAAGCTGGACTCGTTCGTCGACTAGCCTAACCTGCAGTGACAAAAACCTGGGTATCTTCAGTACACCAGGAATGGCTAAGTAACAAGATCTTCACTCAGGTCTGCCAAAACTAGTACAGGACAGTTCAAGATTGGACTGGATGTGACTAGTGTATATCACAGGGTTTCTCAGCCAGGGCGTCACTAACTTTTTAGAGATGCCCTGTCAGATTCTGATTCATGTACAAAATGTGTTTCTACTGCAAGTAAGGGACCTATGGTTTGTGTTGTAGTACCAGGTCAGGCCTCATAGGCACCTAAGAAGACACAGCAGTTCCCATCGCCTGGAGACACAGGGCTACAGGGCCACCAGGTGACAAGTGACTGTGGATGCTATCTAGATTCTGGGAGACACTATCATTCTGCTAGAGAGCCTGTTTGTAATGATAGCCAACTTGTTTAGTGTTACTTGAAACTTTCAACCTCCAGTGTAATGCCAAAAATAAAATCCCAAAGGGTGCCACCAGTACAAATAAGCTGAAAACTACTGTGTTGGTGCCATTTTAGAAAGTTAAAGGTCTTTGAACCAGACTATAATAAGTCTGTCATTATACAGCATTTAAGAGTTAATGGGCTATATTCAATTAGGCACCTTAATGCAAAGGATTATATGTTAATGGACATTTTTGCAATTCTAACCATATCACTGAATTCTATCAATTAATACAGGCCCAGGTATTTGTTTGCATGTGCTATACTTTATATTAGGATGTAAGTTTATTTTTAAAAGCTAATGACTGTTACTAATATTCTGCTCTTGAGTCTAAAATGACCATATCCCTTTGGGGACTTCCCTGGTGGTCCAATGGGTAAGACTCCGCGCTGCCAATGCAAGGGTTTGATCCCTGGTTGGGGAACTAGATCCCGCATGCATGCCGCAATTAAGAAGTCCGCATGCTGCAACTAAGAGGAGCCCTCATGCCACAACTAAGAAGTCCGCATGCTGCAACTAAATAGATGCCGCATGCCGCAGTGAAGGTCAGGCGCAGCCTAAATAAATAAATAAAAAGTAAAATAAAATAAAATGACCTTATCCCTTTAAAAACTCTTAAAATGAGGGCTTCCCTGGTGGCGCAGTGGTCGAGAGTCCGCCTGCCGATGCAGGGGACATGGGTTCGTGCCCCGGTCCGGGAGGATCCCACATGCCGCGGAGCGGCTGGGCCTGTGAGCCATGGCCGCTGAGCCTGCGTGTCCGGGCCCTGTGCTGCGCAGCGGGAGAGGCCACAACAGTGAGAGGCCCGCGTACCGCAAAAAAAACCAACAGAAAAACAAAAAAAAACTCTTAAAATGAGTAATGCTTATAAACTGTGTCCAAATCTTTTAAAACTTAGTTATAAAACCATACATGAACAGGTCTGGCAAAACACTCCGAATTAGCAGCAACGAATATTGAAAACATCGTCAAGCTGCACACCGCCAAATTAAACCAGTCCTATTCTTTCCAGATCTGGCTTTTGATGCTCTTTGAAGCTTATTCACAAGATACAAAAACCATTCTGTTACAAGCAAATAAGAGAGCTTCAATCTCCTTATACTAGAATGAAGAAAGGCCTGAGAAGGATTCCCTCTAAGCAACCTTAAACCTAAAAGCCATTAACTTGAAGAAAAAAAAAAAGGAAAACAAACAAAGAAATTAAAAAGACTGTGAACTAACGTGTTTGCTACATTACATTCAGTTTGGGAAAGGAATAAACTTTTAATATGTGCCTAATATGTGCCAGGCACAAGCCTCCCAAAAACCCTACGAATTTTGTGTAGTTTAACTTCATTTCACAGGTAAGGAAACAGGGGGGTAAGCAGAGATCGGGACAGATAAGTATTCTGTCCAGGTTCACACACCTAGAAGCAGTAAGGTCTAAAGCCCTTGAACTTTCCAAAATGGACATAATTTGCAATTTAGGTGAACGGTGGATAACTGTAGCAACAAAGCCAGAGGATGAAATAAAAATCATTAACTATTGAAAAATATGTCTTAAAACAATTCAGGGAATTAGAACTATTGATATTTAAGAATATTTTAAAATATATTAAGAATATTAAGAAAGAAAGAATAAAGGTCCTTAATTACATTAAAGTATGTGATCTGAGCTGTGTGTTTCTAAAAGTACAGTCCATGGACAACCTATTTTGAATCGCCTGGGGTACTTACTTAAAATGCAGACTCTTGATCTCCGTTCTAGACCTACACAATCAGAATATATGGAGCGGGCTATATCTTAACATGTTCCCCAGATGATCTGTGTACATATATTAGCCATTTTAAAAATTATATTTATTTATTTATATTCCTTCTTTCTTCTTTTTGGCTGCATTGGGTCTTAGTTGTTGCACGTGGGCTCTCTTGCTAAGGCGCACAAGCTCAGTAGTTGTGGCGTGCGGGCTCAGTTGCCCCGCGGCATGTGGGATCTTAGTTCCCCGACCAGGGATCGAACCCACGTCCCCTTCAATGGAAGGTGGATTCTTTACCACTGGACCACACTCACACTTAAGTTTAAAAACCACTGTTTTGGAAGTGGGAAGAGCTGCTTCTTATTTTCCCTGGGAATAGGACAAACAGGGACGGATATTTCTAAAATTTATTCATTTGAAAGCGATTTGTGAGTTAAAGAAATTGTATAACTCTAAACAAGTTACCAAAAGAGAACTCTTCTCTGAAAATTTTGGATACAGATTGAATTTTTTTAAAGTTTGGAGCTCAGTTCTATTTTTTTAAAAGCAGGGTGGGCGGGTGGACAAGGGCCCACCACAGAAGTTGGTCAAGGGAAGAAAGCAGGACACAGATGCAGGATGCGGAATCTCCACCTGGGAGCAGCAGGATGGGGGTGGGAGTTTAAGGCAGACAGATGAATCTGACATGGTGCCTGGTTTGGGGCCCCCGGGACCAGATGGTCCCAGATCTGACTGATCCCTTCACTGTTTCCAGCCCAGTTAATAACTTTAGGAGGAAAGAGCAAAGATCTTGAGGTATGTGTATGCTA